CATACCTAACATTTTTAAAAAATAATTAAAAATATAAATATGAATGTTTTACTTTTATGCAGAGAAGTATCTACACAAAAGACACTTCACACTACTATTTAAAAACTATTTTAAAATAGGTTTTCTTATTTTACTCTGTCTGCCAGTCATTTATCAGAAAACACCTATTGAGTACTATGGCAAACAATACCTTTGAGTTACATCTAAGCCAATAAAAGTCTTTTACTTCTGAAGGCTCCTTCTATCAAATAGTCACCCTACCATTGCTCTAAAACAATTTTGATACCACAAAATGAGGGGGAAAAAAAACCCAGGTTAAGAAATAAATATAATCAGAGTACATAATGAGGCAGACTCCGTAAAGAATCACACAGATGTGTTACAATGCACTGACACACCAGACATGGAAAACCTAACACTAAATGCTTCACGTATTCAAGTGCTTTGAAACACCTGAGAAACAACACAAACCTGAATCACAATCCTGGAAACAAAGAACAGACTGGATTCCATTATATACTTTCAACCTATTTTGTTTGTAGCATTCAGTAATCCCTGGATTACAGAAAAACAGTGAAACAGAATTGGATCATGGTAAAATAATTGTTCCTATAAAGTACAGTTTCTTAAAAAGGTAAAACATTACATAAAATACTAAAAGCATATGCAAGCCAGGAAACTTGCTCTAATACCAAACTACCCAAAGCTTTAACAATTTAACACTTACACCTGTATGATCTTTATAAAGCAGAAGACTACCGATTTGGGATTATGAGATCCAGGCACAAAAATTAAATTTATGGATTTAAAGTTTCAACCATAAACAGTACTGTAATTTCAATTAAAAAAAAATCAAAAAACTTGACAAAAATCAGTAGTCTCAACACAATGGATACATGTACACATAAAATTAAGTAACTCAGGAATTTTATCTGTAGTTTAGTCTAGTGCAGAAAGCACATTTGTGTTCACCTACTTTAAGAAATACACTAGAAACTGTTAAATATGCTGTTACTGAAAACTGCATTCCACACTGAAGAGATATTCTATTTAAAGTTTGAAGCTAAATAAAAAGTGGGAGGAAAAAACCCCTAAACCTGGAAAAGGATCTAATCTGTTTTATGTGGAGCTAAACTCAATTTCACTAATTTTTCCTGATGGATATTGCTCTGAAATTTTCATATAATCAAAGGACTGTCAATCATTCTCTGTAAGAACTTTAAGTTTTTGAAATTATTAGCACTGATTTACTGTATCCACTGTTTGTTGGCTCAGCAGTTAATAACACACAGCTAGACATGTTACTGTGTCTCAGAGTTGTAATGCTCACAGAATGGACAACTCAGTATCTTCTGGTGTGCTACACATGTGCAGACAGTAATTATGGACCAGTTATAATAAACTCACGAATACAGCAAATGTCAACACAGGGCACTAAAACAGCATCAAGAGGCATCAGCAAGCTTTAACTCTTCTAAAACTCCCTCATTCTAAATGATGAAGGTAAAAAAAACTGGTTTTCCAACACCTCAATACTCAAACAATCCATGTCATCCACTAAGACACGAGTCACTCCTAAAATGAGCATGCTTTTTCTTTGTATACAGGCTTTACCAAACACATTAAGACAACTCTGCTAAACAAGAAATTGCAAAGACTGTACTGCCACGAACTCAGAAAATAAACCAAAGGAAGAAAACACAGGACAGGAGACAAATGGTGAGCCAGAGTATCAGCACTGTCAGGATCAGCTAAAGTCAACAAATTTATAGGTATTCATCTTTTACCCATCATGTACTCATTAAGTCGCTGCTCTGAGCAACACCAGTATCATACCCCGTGAAGAATGCAAATATTTGGTCCTTGCCTAATACTGAGCCAAATTGTGCTAAGCAAAATCAAATAATTTTCAGAGAAGGAAAGACAGATAGACAGCAGCTGAAATCAACTGATCTCCCAGAGTAGCTTTGTACTTAGTTTATTTTCCATACCAACCTGCATACTCACTGCTCTAGCTGCACAACACAGAATCACAGTAACAAATCTGCTGAAGTCTTCCAATACAGGAAAAAATCTTGACAGAAAAGTTGCAAACATGGTTTACATTAATGGGGCAACATAAAATATATATTTTTTACCCCTAAATTTGGCCCTGATGACATGAAATATTTTCCTAGAAAATCTAGGTTCATGTTCCAGCAGTATTCTGAAATGACCATAAAGAAATAAATAACTCAATTCTTTAAGTTCTAGTGTTAGCTATGGAAATACACTGAGTTTCTTTTGCTGGGTTTTTTTTGGTGTTTTTTTTGTTTTGGTTTGTGTTGGTTGGTTGGGGTTTTTTTGTTTTTTTCAGCATACAAGTTACTGGCCCACCTATCTCAACTGTACAAACCACTTGCTGATCACAGATGCATTTGAACAGATATGCAACTTGCCTGGTATTTGAGATTAACCTATTTTCAAGGCTGGTTCTAGAAACATTGCATCTACTGTTGATGCTTATTATTATTAACAGCTCATTTTTGCAGTTTAAGAGAAAAAGCCAATATTAATCACACTAAAGGGACAATGCATTTTTTAGTGCTGTTACACTGCCTGGGACTTCAATCCAATGGTCAACCCAGCAGGGCAATCTTACCTCACAAGAATTAAGTTATAAATGCAGATCTAATATTTTAATAACAGTTCCAGGATATCGGTAGACAACAAAGACATCTGAAGTAGCGTCCTCTGTTAATTCCCTAAACTTGCATGACTGCTTTCAGTAAAAATTCATGTTGTACTCTTGACAGGGTACAACCAATTCAGTTTATGACAACTGTTTATTTGAAATTCTGGCAGCTCCACCAGTATTCAATCTGAAACAAACCTGTTAAAAATCAAATGTATTACAAAATTCACAGCTAAAGTAAATCTGTTTATTATTTCCAAAGGACCCAACTGATGGCTGACTGCTTTACAGGACAAACACAATCCTCAGGTTAGATTCAGTTTATGAATCTCCCTTTTGATACATCCTAACAAAACAAAAGCCACAAAACTGCAAAGACTTTTACAAAACTGCATTGATACTGCTCACAAATCTGTCGAGAACACAGAAATGAAAAGCACCCCTTTCAGACTGAGATTGCTGGGAAAGCAGTGGACAGCACTAAAAAGCAAACACAGTCATTTTACTTTTTTGGGAGAAATGCCTAGATCAAGCTTGCAGAGAGAGTAGCTCAGAGCACACAACACTGCAGCTGCCAAAAGACTAGAGAAGACAAGAAAGCAGCTTCAATACATTGGCAGCTGGAGAAAATCACAATGATATCGAGGTCTGGGACACTTCTACTTCTAGCCCAAACACTGATGTACAAAAGAAGAAAACAAAAAAAAAAACCACAAAACCAAACTGAGTGTAGATTAGATGTGAGGACAAAAAAAAAATCAAAAGAAACATTAGCATTTTCTCTATTCACAGCAACTAGGTGAAACAAAAGTCTGACAGTCTAGTTGAAGTGCTAGCACTGCATTTGAAATTTCAGAGCCTTTACTTCATCTTTTGTATCCTCTTCCATTAAACAGCCAGTGTTCTTCATCTCAGACTTAAGGAATGATGCAAAGTTCTGTATCTAGACATTAGTGGTGCTTTCGGACATGTAACCTTTTTTTGATGAAGTCTGCAATACCAATCACACACACAAAAAATTGTGGAATAGCACAAAGGTGCCACATTTAGAGCCATTTCAAGGAGAAAAGTGGGAAATCCTATGGAAAATGAAAGAAGTTCAGAGTCTAGTGATGTCTACATTCTTTATAAGCAAGAGACTGTGTTTTTACATTTTGATAGCATCTTTTCTATGATTTGTTGCTTTCTAATTTAAATAAATGAAGTTTTAGTCAATACTTGCACAGCAAACCTTCTGAAGACTAGAAGACTTGCAGGAAACTGTCGATGAATCAGCAGGTGTCACTAGTTCGAGACAGAGGCAGCTGGGGCACAGACTTTTACAGGAAGGCATAAAATCCCTAAAACCTTGGTTATCTGACATAACCACGCCATATGCTAAGTACCATACCCGTAACTAGCACATCAAAGTACAGGAGACTGCAGATTTTACAAACACAGTACTGAGGCTACGACCTCCCAAAGGTGAAGGCTGACTCACTGTTTTTAAAGACTGTTAGATCAAAATAAACACTGGAAACAGAGAGATACTAGTGACTGGCTACGTTTCCTACAGTCACGTTAGCCAGCCAGTGAGACAACTACCACCAAAACCAGTCTGCTCAACAGGACAACTCACACCTAGAAAATGAGAGAAGAGAAGGCTTTGGGGTGTCCTAATTGTGGCCTTCCAGCACCTGAAGGGAACTTACAGGAAGGATGAGGCAAGACTGTTTGCAAGAACATGTGCTGACAGGACAAGGGGCAATAGCTTCAAAGTGAAAGACGGTAGGTTTAGATTACCAATTATGAAAAAATTCTTGACTGTGGGGGTGGTGAGGCACTGGAACGGGCTGCCCAGGGCAGCCGTGGATGGCCCATCCCTGGAAGTGTTCCAACCCAGGCTGAATGGGGCTTTGAGCAACCTGTCTAGCTGAAGGTGTCCCTGCCTACGACAGGGGAACTGGAAGATTTTTAATGTCTCCTTCCAACTCAAACGATTCTACGACTCAATGACTTCACGAATGAGCTGCATCCACCTTCCGAGCCAGCCCTCCGCAGTGCAACAGAGAAGTCGGCGAGGAGGGTACGAGGCGGCACATTTCCCCACTACCCCCGCTGGCCTCACAAGGCAGCAGTCCCCTCCTAGGCCGGGATCGGTGCTCGCCCAACAGCGCCTGCCGCGACCCGGGCGAGCAAAAGCTGCTTTGTCACCGGGCAGGGCCCTCGCCCCGCGCCGCCGGAGGCGGGAGCCGCGGGCCGGCGCTCCCCTGCCGAGCGGCACGGCGCTCGGCCCCGGCCCCAAGGCGGCCCCGCCGCCCCCTCAGCCTGCTCCGCCGCCCCTCACCTGCCGGATGCTGCTGGTCTCGGACACGGCGAACTCCTCCTTCTCCTTGGGGGTCTTCACCGTGACTTTGATGATCCGTGGCTCGGAGACACCGGCAGAGTCGTGGGCGGGGGAGCCAGAGGGGCCCTCCGCAGGCCCCTCCGCTCTGTCCGACATTGCCGTGTGCGGGCGGGGACGGGCCGGGCCGGGTGCCGCCGAGCCCCCGCCGCCCCCCGAGGCGCTCCGGGCTGCCGCAGCCCTGCCCCTGCTGCCTCCACGGACATCACCTTGTCAGGACCCGTCTGGAGTGCCCTGTCCAGTTCTGGGCTCCTCAGTACGAGTGAGATAAGGAGCTGCTGGAGAGGGTCCAGTGGGGCGTCACGAAGATAATTTGGGGTTTGAAACATCTCTCGTATGAGGAGAGACTGGGGGAACTGGGCCTGTTTAGTTTGGAGGAGCCTGAGAGGGGGTTCATCAATACATGTAAATATCTCAGAGGTGGGTGCCAGACTTTTCTCAGTGGTACCGAGACAGGACGAGCAATGGCCATAAACTCAGACACGGGAGACGTCGTTCAGCATGGGGAAGAACTTTACACTTAGGGCGGCAGAGCACTGGAACAGGCTGCGCAGGAAGGTCATGGATTCTCCCTCTCCTGAGGCATGCCAGCCCTGTCTGGACACGGTCCTGTGTCACCTGCTGTAGCTGGCCCTGCCTTGGCAGAGGGCTTGGCCCGGAGGATCCTCTCCAGAGGTCCGTGCAGAGGGTCACCAGCTCCCCAGCTGGTGCTGGCCAGGCAGCTGTGGTTTGCTGGAGCTCCAGTCCTAAGACATGAGGAGTTACATGGCCTGTAGAGAGATGAAACCAGAGGGTTTGGTCTTGGAAGATGCAAGAAAACTAACTTGTCATAGTTTGTGAACTTACATCAATGAAATAATTTAGTACCTGTTGCTTTTAGGTTACTTGGCCCCAGCTAAAGAATAATAAATACTGAACTTTTACTCCTTTAAAGGTATTGCTAAGGTAGCATGCTGTAGCGGGAAATCACATCTTCCTCAGACTTAGACCAAAAAAACCTCAAACACAGCTTAAAATTGCATTACCAAATTAGGCATTCTCCCAAAATATTCTTGCCTCTCAGGAAATTCAAGATGTCTTTTCCTGTTTTGGTGTAAAGTATGTGTGTGGCTGAGCTGTAGAATCAAATGCCCTTTTTTTCTTGGATGAGAACAGATGTTTCCCACAGTATTCTGGATCACCAGATGATTTGGTCTCCTCTTGGGATAACCTCTCAACACCCTTTGTGGATTGGTTCAGATTGTACTAAAAAAAAAATTGTAATACAGCATGGTAGGCTCCAAAACTCTTGACATTTTTACTAAAGGAATTGAAGACCTGCTAAGAGACCTTGAAATAGGAATACCTCATATTGGCTGAAGGGAATTCCAGGTTTTGCCTGATCTAGAGCTTTTGTTTGTTGCGGATAAGAATGATTCCAGGCCTGTTCAAGTATTAAGCCTTTCTGTAGTCACACATGTTCCTTTTGCCCGTTGGTTGTGATGCGACAAGGCGTGACTTCTGCTGCAGCAGAGCACTTGGGCAGGTGCCTGTGCCACACTACCTTGTTAGCTAGCAGGGTGAGGGACATTGCACAGCAGAATCCTGCACTGCAATCAAGAAGTGATTTCAAGCAGAAATTGGATGAAAGAGCAAGGAGATACTCCTCATCGCAGGCTGTTACAGTTTATAGATACAGCTCACGCTGAGCGTACTGTTACATGAATACACTTTGTACCAGAGTAACGCAACTTCTGCCTGGTTATAGCTAGCAGAACTTTACAAGTTAGAGGAATTTGTGTTACTTACTGAGGTATATTTGTTGTAAGTGGCAAGGATACTAAAAATTTATAGCAAATAACTTGGAAGTTACTGAAAGTTCTTAACTAATCAAGAGGGAACTTAACAAAGAATGTTTTTATCTTCATGTTAATTTTGGTGAGATAACAGGAATATGGGATCTCATTTGCCAGAACTGAAAGGGTCCAGATGGAAAATACCCTAAACCAGGACAACATGCATATGGGTTCTCATCAGATAGAGCAAAGCTTATAAAAAAATGAAAATGATACAGCAAATAATTTTGAATTCTTAATCCTCTTAGCCTGATGGATTTTTAAAAACACTTCTTTCTTTCCTCTTGCTTTTCCTTTTCTTTCCCACTTTCTTCCACCTGTGCTTTTGTTTCCCCTTTCTAAAACCACCTGTGCAACTTTTCATCATTAGTTACTGATATTAAAGAACAGATGTTGGCATGTTTGTTAGACAGACCCTCTTAATTTTTATGCCACTTCATTTTGCTCACCTACGGTTACTGGTGTTTACTGCAGAAGTTCCCAAGTTTACTGCCCAATTCCCAATTTTGACTAGACAGCATCAATTCAGTATTTTCTTTCCTAGTTGATGTAACCAAGGTAAAGCCATCTAAATTGGCTACAAACAAACAAACAAACTGAAAATGGACTTGCAGTGACCAAACTGTATTTTGAATTGAAGTGGAAGGAGTGGCTCACATCAAGTTGAATCAAATTAAGAATTTTAGCAAAAGTTTTGAACCAGTTTGGCTGAATTCTGTTTAATGTTTTACCTGATATTAGTGACACAATCTTGACTTCAGATGAGGCCTCAGGTGGTCTACTGACAGTAAAACTTACATACAATATCTCCAAAGGTCTGCTGTAAATGACACATAACATTCCTTCTATTTGTGAATATTCAAACCAAAACATAATACAAACACCTGTGATTTATTTTTAATGTAAAAGGGAAGAATATACACTTCTACTTTCATATGGCATTAAAAAGATATTCTGTATTTTTTTTTCCATTCCTGATTTGCCAGAACAAAGGTTAGAGGTTTTGATTTAGACTCAGTTAAAAGGGTTAAATTAAAAAAGCTTCATGGTCAAGCGTAACTGGGTAGACAGCAATTATCTACCCAGTTACACTTTAGGGGGCTTTATGCCCAGTTGTGCTTTACAGGGGCCTCACTGTGCAGATTCTCTGCCGTTAGTACAGGAAATCTGAAGTACATGCCCTTGTTAGGTGTCAACCAGAAAGAGCATCCTTGTCAGGTCTTCAGTAATTCTAATAAATTACCTTGTCTCACTTTCAGTGGGATTTGTTTTTCGGTAATTGCTTTTCTTCTAGTTCTTACAAAGAGTCACACATTCAAAAGTCCAGGAAAAATTATTGTCCTTTTCATTATCGCAGTCCATCAGCAGGTGTTTTCTGTAACTTTTTCCCTAGCCCAAGTTATTTTTGTTAGTTTGATTCATAAAAATATTTAAAGTATTGTAGTTGTCTTTAGTCATAACCATCCCAGAATTCTTTTCTCCAGTTCCTCTCTACATGTACACTCTACGTGTACACCATGTGCTTTGGTCTTTCCAATAAGCCTCTGTGTCTCCCTAGCCTCTGTTATATGGAACTTTTTGTTTCATTGGGAAAGTTCTCTCATTTCAGAATTTTAACTGCATATTTAAAGCACTGAATCTATGCTGTCTAAACTCAGTGCAGTAAATGAGAGCCTTTTGCTCTCATTTTTGGTCCGGCTTTCTCACCTCAGCCTTAGTTGTGAGGGTTTGATTTATTTTTTAAATTAATATTTTTGAAGAAGAAAGATTTTATTGTGTTGTGACACAATTTACAGCTTATGTCAGAGTAACTAGAACAGATACAAAATAATGTTGAACATTTGTACAGGAAATCAAAATAATAACAAAGCTGTCTATTGCCAGTTTACATACAGTCACATTCTGAAGTGAATCAATGTGAGAAAATAATATTGAAACAATTGCTAAATTTTCCAAAGAAAGCATAACAGGAGTATCCTTCCTGAAACAAACTGCAACAGCTACAAAAAATGCTCTGTCTTTGCGAACATTCAGTTATTTCAAATGTAAAAGGAACTAGAGATGAGAAAATACAATTTTTTTTCCCAAGAGACATAGAAAGAATTTAAGAACAATGTAGAAAAGAAAAAAAATCAGCTGATTGACGAATTTCTGTGCAATTTATGTTGGAAAGACTAATTCTACACTGGACAGGCTAATACAGCAAGTGGTGAATGGGGAAAGAAGTTGTGTTGAATAAGAACTGTATTCAGTATTACCCAAGTTAGAAACATGTGTGTGTTTCTTTAACATTTTAACACTGGTTTTTATGGACTTTTTTATTATGACATCAGTAGGCACTTCTAGAATTCAATTTTGATTTCATTTAAATAGAGCTGTTAATCAGTAAGCATAATACAAACTAATTTTGTAAGTATGTCAAACTCAATAGCACAAGAAACAACACAAGTTAGTTCTACACTGGGGGATGGCAGGGCCGGGGGTGGGAGCAGCTTTAAATAATTGTCCTGAAAGAAAAAGAACATCAAACTAAATCTGTCAAATAGGGATAGGTGGATAAATTAAAATTTAAGGGAAGACAGATTTATAGAATAGCAGGTAATCAGTCTTTTGGTTTTTGACTTAATTTTATAATACAGAATAATCAAATTACTCTCTCTAAAAATAATTTAGCAATTTAATGGTACCTTGAAACAGACTAATTAGTTATTGTGAAAAGATTAATTCAAAATTTGTTACAAATACAAACATGTTGGAAAAGAAGTCACATCTCCAAGTTACGGGCACTACTGATTTGATTAGATAAAAGTCTTGTTCTTGTAATCTTTGGTAAGTATTTTCTGTAGTGCAGCAGATAATGAAAACATATACCACCTCTCCAGATGAAGGGGGTTTAGTTTGAATCAGACTGTAACAAAACAGATTACTTCATTCCACCCAGTAGCATTGTATCTGTCAGGATGTAATTATGCACACTTTATCCTGTGTGGTCACAGCGTCCACAGTTCTGAACAGTGGCATCAGTACCATCAAATACGAAGATATTTTATTTGACAATTGTTTTCAAAGAGTTGGCCAGAAAACAAACAAACAACAAACAAGCAAATTGGTGAGTCTACAATAAGACTTCTAGCATTATTATGAAATCTGAATAAATATGGACTGTTAGTTACACTGTCTCATTTCTTTGAAAAGTCTTATTTCACTGTTAGCATCTTCATGAAACTAGTTTTCAGAACTCAGTAATAAGTTGTAACAGCATTACAGATTCATAGTACCTTTATTAAGAAAGAATT